TTTTAAAAGTTTAAAAAATATATAGTTTTTGTAAAAATAAATTTCTTGTAAAAAAAATAGTTAAAGAAATATTATTATATTATTATTATATATAGTATAATTATGTCTAAGGCTTTGGAACGAAACATTGGATATTTAACAGTGCTAAGGCGGAAGTCATCGCGGACAGCAAAACCATCAGACCTTAGAAAAATAGATAGAGTAGTTAATTTATATACCGAAAGGAAGATTTCAAATGTTACAACAGCGGAAAATTTAATCAAGGGTTTAACTTCTACAGATACAAAAGTTTATGATAAAGCATATCAAAAATACAAGGATAATATTAAGAAATTCAAGGAAAATAAACCCTTAAATCAAAGAATGGCAGAAGTACGGGCATATAAGGAAGCAGAAGGCAAGGAATATAAGAAGAGAGGAATGAAAAAGAAAAATACATATTTTGTTACGTGCGACCTTTATATAATTGGTGATAAAGAAAAAACGAAATCAAAACCTGCCTTTAAAGCATTTGGTAAATATTATTATCTTTGGAACTATGAGAGACTACGTGCTACTATTCAAATGGTAGGTGAAGAATTTCCTAAGGAACTTATACGCAAGAGAATTTTAAAAAAGACTGGTGTTATAAATTCAGATGATGATTTGGGGGAATATGAAGAAACAAACCCAGAATTTACAAAAATAATAAACATCATGAGAAATGATGAAGACTTTGATACACACGTGCAACATTTAAATCATCAGGAATATGGGCTAGATGGTATTAAAATACTGTCTGTGGAGATGATGAATAAATCGGGTGAAAAGTTTGATATACTAACAGAAAATTTAAGAGATGCTTCTAATGTATCCATTTACCATAAATACATACACACACCTATAAAAATGAGCGAGGACACTATACAAAAGGCAATTAAACACGGTAATTATATTAAAAATGAATGTTGGATAAATTCATTAACTGATTTTTACAGTGATACAATTATGAATGAAAGAACCCGTAACAGACTAACCAGAGATAAAATTATTGAAATCATAGGTAGGGATGATTTTAAGGAAGTAGGAGCGACAATTAAGGAAATGGAAGCAATATTTATGAAATTTAATATACAAGTTAGAATTTTTAATTTTGTAAATGAACTTATTTACAAATATGACCCAGAAAAAAGAAACCATCATATTAAAACTTTTTACGCTATGGTGAAAAATAACCATATTTACACATTAAACCACGACTTAAGCAAAATACAACAAAAACAATTAGTATCAAAACTACCCACTATAAAAGCGCGCACTGATTATTATATAAATGAAAGAGAAGAACCGCCACAATACAAAATGAATTAATGTATAGATGATATACTTAAAATTAAAACTGATGATAAAACAAAGGAAGTACATTTAGTGCCCGAAAATAATAATTTGGCGGAATTATTATTCCAGCTGTTGAATAGCGGATATGAACCCAGAATTAAATATACTAGCATTGTTGACGAAATTAGAGTCAAATTTAACAAAATTACATATATCATAAAAACTCAAAATTTAATTAAATCTTCCAGCGATGGATGGATAGCAGTTAGCAATGAAACTACATACAACAATATGAATAAAGCAATGTTTAATTTTAATAAATCTTTATTCATTCCATCTCATAAATCCTTTTATAATGACATTGATATAAAGATATTAAATGAATCAAGGACAGTAGCGCCATCAGGGTTATTATGGGAGAAATTTCATTTAAGAGGTAAAACTGAAATAGATGAAAATAAAGCGTATTCAAAAGGTTTTATAAATATTACTGAAATACCAGTATTTAATCAATTTGACCATTGGAAACCTTATAATAATTCAATTGATATTAATGAACTACACGAACTAACATTATATTATGTTGAAACTCAAGGCAGCAATAAATCACTCGAGGACATACAAGACAAAATAAGGCGTCTCAAAAAAACAAATAGCGATAGGTTAGATATAATCAACAAGCTTGAATACTACCGCGGACACGACGCAGTGCTAAATTATTTAGAAATGTATAAACAAATGGGCATTAAATTTGTATTAGAACCACGCGAATTAGAACAAGAGACACAAGATATATTAATCAAATCACGGTTAGACTTAATGTTTCACAAGCAATATAACTTAATTTATGGTAAGTTTTTAAAAGAATTCATTAATGAAAACAAGAACCATTCAATTAACATATTATATTATAAACAACCTTCGTTTATTCATAAGGTCGATTACAAAAGTATTATTGATGAACTTTGGAAAACTGTTATAGATGAAGATGATAGGGACTTAGATAAAATCATCAAAAAATTAATAGGAAATGTCAATTTTGGATTATTAGAAAAGGGAGGGGCAACGGCGCATCAAAGCATTTTGTTTAAAAGTATCGATGAGACAATCCATTATCAAACAGAATACGGAGGCAAAATTCATAAATTGTCTCATATAGTAAGAGAGGATGAAGAGGATGAAGAAGGAGATATAAAGGCATCCTATTATGTATTAAATTTAAAGGATAAAGCAGAATTAAGAAATGGTTTTAGGTATATTAAAGAATTACTTTTACAGCATCATAATTTTAAAATGAACCAAGATTTTTACAAATTAATAATACATAATATTAATGTATATAGTGTAAAAACTGATGCATTTGTAATTGATACGTGCAATGTGGAAAAGGCAAAGGAAATATTAGAATTTCATAATAATATTGGAGGCTGGAAGGTTTCAAAACATGATGAAGAAATTAATTTACCTACAGTAAAATATGAAGTTGCTAAAAATGAAGTAGTAAAAATACCAGTTTATGAAAGTAAGAGAATAGATATAGTAGATGAATATATTATTGAAATTATTGAACAGAATAATCCTATTATGATCAGAGGCGAACTACCAGGCACAGGAAAATCATATATATGTCAAAAAATGGTTGATAAAAATTATAATGTAATTTTTATTTGTCCTACTAATAAACTATTACAGGCATTCGAAGGCGAAGCAATGACAATAAATAAATTTTTCGGTATTAATTATGGAGATGCTAAATTAGAACCATTTGATTTTACAGATTTTGATGTTATAGTATTTGACGAAGTTTATTTTAGTAATTTAAATATATATTGGAGAATAAAACAATTTGTAGAACAGAATAAGCACAACAAAATTATAATAGCAACAGGAGACACCAAGCAATTAAAACCAGTTCAAGAGATAACAAATACTCGAGACTATGAATTATATACTGATAATATTATAGATAACATTTTTGAATATAATATTTTGTTAAAAGAATGTAAGCGACTTAACACACAGGAAGATAAGGATAAACTAAGAAATATTAAAATTGATATTTTTGAAAATAAATTACCTATTATAAAAGTTATTGAAAAATACTTTGAATATACAACTGACATAAGCAAGTCTATCAACAACATAGCATTTTTAAATACAACTTGTAAAAATGTATCAAATGAAATTAGAAAATTAGAAAATAAAAAAGGTGAATATCAAGTAGGCGAATTCTTAATCTGTCGCGAATATACAACAACTAAAACATCAGTGTTTAATGTAAATTTCAAATATAAAATTGTTCATATTGGAAGCGATGGAATTTTTACATTGAAAAATGTTAAAACTGAAATTCTACAGTCTTTGTCAATTGATAAAATAAGAAGTAATTTTATATTTGCATATTGCTCGACTTGTCATTCTACCCAGGGCAGTAGCATTGATGATACCATAACAATTTTTGATTATAACCATTTTTTGGTAAAGAATTATCCAGAATGGATATGGACAGCAATAACACGTGCTCGTGATTTAAACAAAGTCAAATTTTATAAATATACGAAAGATATTGATGATGTATTTAATCAAAAATGTATTATGAGTTATTTTGAAAGGAAAATATTAAATTACAAAGAACAAGACAGGAAAGCCAAAAGAACAATACCTAAAGAAGGTTATGTAAATGCGCAATGGTTTTTAAATAATATCACTAATCAATGTAATTACTGCGGATGCGGTTTTTCTATGGATATGAAAAATGGCAATATAATGACAAATCTGACAGCGCAACGTAAATCAAACGAGTTGTCACACGAACTGAATAATATTATTCCTTACTGTGTTAGATGCAATTGTAGTTGTAAATGATAATAATTTAAATTATAACCATACTATGATTATAACATTTATACCCTTATATGTTATAATTATAATGTAAGTATAGCGTTTTATATATTGAAGATAAAATCCTACAAGGCGGGCCATGCCTATTAAAATTGTATGATAAAACTGATGAAACGAAGGGCAAAAAACTACCTTAAAGGAATGTGGGCATTATATGTATATGGAGGAAATTGTAGTCAAACATTGTTCAAGATGTAATAAGTCAAAGAATTTGGATGAATTCACTGAACCTAGAAAATTATGTAATGGATGCATTGAAGATAAACGAGATTATCACAGATGTAAAAGGGCTGGAATTGAAAGAGTGAAGGAAGTAAAAGAACCTACTATAAAATACAAACTAAGAAATTATTATTGCGAAGTCTGTGAATATGAATTGAGACTGTGCAAGAAGAAGGAACACGAACAAACATTATACCATCAAGATAGATTCAGAAGAAAGGAGCATCCAGAAGAATTTGAAAATGAAGAAAAGCCAGACAGAACATATTTTGAAAGTGGTAAGGAGTATTTTGTATGCAATAAGTGTAAAAGCGGAGTTATGTCTTCTCTATGGGCTAGGCATTGTTTATCGCTAGACCATTTAGGAAAGAAATTGTATAAGGAGCACCATGCCCAGTAAAATTTTATGATAAAATAATTTATCATAAGATTTACCATAGGATTTTTTACATCATTTTGCCCGGGGGGTCTTACGGGGCAAAAATAAAAACCGGGCGAGGCCTATTCTAACTGTTTTCCCCCCGAACAGCCTCCGAGCGGGAAAAAAAAACAAAACCGAGGATCGCGGAGGCGGCCGGAAGCTCAGCGCGTGGAAGTGGTTCTGCCGCAAATGTCTGGTTGTAGCAAGGGCCATAAAAGGACCTCATAACCAACTTGGTGGGAACCAATGGACAGATACATAAATAAATGTATATAATATATATATATATATATATATGTATATGTATGTAAGAGGGTGATATAAGAGCGTGCCGGTTTATGAAGATCACTTCTTTTAATGGGACAGCCCCCCATCTCGGCGACAAACCCATGGAACCAATCTTCTATTTGGCAACGTACTTTAATTGGAAACCCTTTGGTGGACATCACGTGGATGGGGGGAGGATATGCCATCAACCACTGTTGAGGGGTTCCCTATTAGTTTGTTTAGCCATACAAGAGCTGTGGTGGTGGTGGTGTACTTTAAAGTCAGAATCATGGGAGCACAGTGTGTTCATTTCAGCTTGCATCAGAGCATTGGTTTGGTGTCCTTTTGTTTTGGGGCAAATTTCTGCCCTTGCGCCAACCCTTTTGGGAGATGTGGGACCTTGCTGTGCACCGCTTCGCTGCTTAGTCTTGGTTTCCCCATTTATTTCCCTGCAAAGTAGCATGGAGCCCAAACGGGGTGTCCTTTCCTAGCGATTTTCGCCTGGAAATGGGCGGGTTTTGGCTTCCTTCCGTTGATCAGCCGCTGCGCTTTCGGTGGCCTCTCAGCTGTTGGTCCTTCAGATTACCTCTGAAGTTGACATGAAAAACGCGAGACCCCACTTTTTTTCGGGGAAATACTACCTTGTAAGCTGGGATGTCCGTGGGGGGGGGGCTGCAACCGGGTTTCCCTCACCTTTCGCGGGGGACTCCAATACCAACAAACACTGGTTTCCCATGGTTTGAAAGTGGTGCAAGATCTCGTCCATCCACAGTATGGACACATCTTTTGTTAGGGGCGAGTTCTCTCATATCCGCCATTTGGCTATTTGCTTGGATCCTTGGACAAAACAGCTTTTTTGTTGAAACAGCCCGGATTTTCCGAATGGACGTGGAGCTCGCAGTGCACATAGCTCAATATATATAGACACTGTCCACAGTCGACTTTTTGGTGTTCCAGCGAACCACATTTTGCAGAGTCGTTGCGGCCGGAGTCCCAAGACGTGCCGTTCTCGAGAGGTCCTCAGCGCCTGGAAGAAGCATCTCACGAAGAAAGCGCCAGCGCGCCCATGACGCGACCCGATGCCCTAGCTTTTTCTCTGCCGGGGTCTCTCCGCCAACTGAGCAAGAATCTGAACTTAGGATTTTCGGTGTACTTATAGGGTTGCGCAAGGATTTGTTGGTGTTGAACATCAGCTTTCAGCGGCAATCTTGAAGTCAGACTCCGGGCAACGGGGTTCAGGGGGATGTTTGACGGCGAACTATTTGGAACCCCAGCCTTGAATCACGCCTTCAGCTGCGGTCACGAAAGGGACGTCCGCAGAAAGTACACCGAACATGGTTGTTTGAAAGGCAGCTCCATGCGACGTGGCCAAAGCTGTTGTGGGTAGAGGTCAAGGCTTTCTCAAAAGGTTTCTGTCAGTCGAGGGAAGCGTTTTCTTCCGCATCTGGGATATTTGTCGCCAACATGCGCGTTTCTTTCTCGCCTGAGGCCCTGGGGAATAGGCCCAACCTTCGAATGGGCACCTCGGCCGCGTGTTCGCGAGCAAGTCTTCGGTTGCCGGAAGCAAAGGTCAACATGGGCATGTCGTTTTTAGGGACCGCCCAAAATGGTGGTTGTTCGTTTCTTTGGGTTTCTCATTAAAGTCACAAGGGGTACCCTCAAAAGACAGACCCACATTGCCATCCAGACACAAGGCGTAAGTTGAATAGCCTGAGCAATCTTGAATTGAAACCAAAGCTGGCGCTTGTGATGTCGAACAACGTTAGGAACGTGTGCTTTGATGTTGGCCCCATTCCTTCTTGTGAAGTGGAAGGGACGCCGTGAGCACTCCGAGAATGTTGGCACTGAGGTTTAGGGGTGTGAATGGACCGACCATTGGCCCATGGATCCGGGGCCATTGCAACTGGATTTGTGAAAAGGTGAGCATGAGGCATGTACTTTGAGAAGCAAGGTTGAGCGTATCAGACTCACACGCACACAATGACTGAGAAGCAGCTAGTGCACAGCCCCATTTAGTCTCTATTTCCATTGAGGTTTGGTACCAGTTATTATTTTGGGAGGGACATGGGAGACCCATTTAATTGCCCATGTCCTGTTGGGGAAAGAAGTGCAGTAATCTTGACCGCTCAAAAGCACGCCTCACGGGTGTGTGCCACGCAGGGCTCTCTATATTTTTCAGGGGCCTCCTCCACAATTATGGTATATTTCAGGGTTGACTAGATAAGCAGAATCTGAACCTACGACCTTCTCTGATCCCCAGATGTGGGCCAAAGATCAAACACCATTCGCCAAGCCATGCAAACGTGCTTAAAAAAACGGAGGGCATGAAACGAATCACCCAGCCACACGGGTAAGGGTCAAGCTTAAACCATAAGAGGACTGCAGGTTAGTCCTTATTTCCATTTACCACGGTTCCATTGCGGGTACCCTCCCACCAACTAACATGGAAGTGCAAAAAGGCCAACTAACCAAGAGGAAAGTCGTCTTTCTACAGGGGTCTGTGCACAAACCCATGGAATCGCTGGTGGGAGGGTACCTATTTTTGAGGCACACCCATATCTTTTTGTTGATGGTCATAGCCACATGGGGGCTTTTCCTGATCCCATGAAAGCCTTTTGGATCCATCCGCAGGTGTCCACGAACTTCGCGAAGCTGTTGACGCTGGATACGGACTGCCTGCACCCCTACGTGTCTTGGCCCAGGAAGGTTGTTCGCATAGGTGTCCTTCTTAGGTTCGTTTGGCTAAACATAGATGGCACTGGTTTGGATGGGTTGTATTCCATTTACCAGGGCCATCTAGTTTTCCAAAAAGGCCAACCTATGGTTGTTCCTTTTCTCTTTCGGGGGCGCAACCTTCACATCACTTCCTCACGTGGACTTTAAAGACTTTGGAGGTTGCGAAGATCATTTTAGTGGCCAGCAAAAAGCTTGACCTTGTTTGGCCTCACCCGCATCCACATTAAGTTCCGCTGATGTGTACCATATACAGATTTGCATACAGTACGTGTATCTTTTACCCGTTCCGTTGGCGAACTTCGAACTATTTGTGACAAGGCTTGTTCATCTTATGGTGATGGCCAAAAGGAAGCAATCAGCAGGCCTTAATGACTCTCTATTGATTGGGCCCTTGACTATCACCCAATCCCCAGCGCCCACAACCCAAGAGGCTACCTTTGATATTCCATGGAGCCGTTCCCTTTCTGCGTTTTGGGAGCGGCAAAGATCTAGTTCTTCGCTAGCATACGGGGCTTGGGATAATCTCTTAGTTTCAACTGCCTCTTGGCGACCGAATGGCACCCGCCTGGCGCTCAGTCATCCCAGGAGGGCTGCGATGAGAATGACTGCAGCATGAGAAGGCGTGGGAACTCCATGTCGTGTTTGGTCAGCTTGAACCGCCCACAGATAGGGCTGGTGGTCATTTGTGAAGAACCGGCAAGCAACGAGTGATGCGTCTATCGGCACGACCTGTTAAGGCAGCATTTTGTCATCTTTGAGAGATCCTCCACACAAATCCCAAAAAGGTTCCCTTTTTTCCGGATGTTGTCCACCTGTATGAAGGGCACCAGATCCTTGATTTGCGTAGGAAGGGTCCTGTTTTCATTGGAGCGCAGAGGGCATGATTCTTCCTGTCGTAGGGATAGCTGGGGCCTTGCCTTGTGATGCCCATCTCCTGGGTGGGCGTGTGTTTTTGGAGCTGGCCCCCAGATTTTGCGTGGTTTCAAAAGGGACGCCAACTGGAAAACCAAAACCCATTTTGGGGGTCCCCCAAACAAAGACACCCACGTGGCGAAACAAGAGGTCTCTGAGCAGATCTCTCTAAGTCGCAGGAAGGCAATACCTTGCCATTGGGAGGCAACGGGTGTAGGCCTTCAAGCGAACGCTGTCGCTTGGACGGAACATCAATAGCAGCGCCCCGTTTTTTTGATGGGGATTCCCTCCGATCAGCTTGGCACGTTTTGATTCCGGTCAAGAAGGAAAGGACGCTATGAAAGGGACCAGAGGGGGTTGCTGTCCTTTGATGAGTTGGGTTGGCTTTCTGAGGGTAAATGTGCAACTCCTTTACCACCAAGCCACCAATCCAAATCACCAACTACCCTCCTACCAACTAATATGGAAGTGCAAAAAGTCCAACTAACCAAGAGGAAGGTCGTCTTTCTACAGGGGTCTGCGCACCAAACGCATGGAATCGCTGGTGGGAGGCTAGGAAGCTGAGAACAGATCAGTCGCCCGCTTCGGGCCCCTTGGTTCGGCGAGGTATGCCATCGGTCCGCCGGCGGCACCGCCGGCGGAGGAGGAGGATGAGGAGGAGAGCCACTTGGCAAGGTACGGGGTCTTCAAACAGCTGTTTTATTTGTTTAACTTAAGGGTGGACTAAGTATGAAACAAAATCCGAAAGATTGAAAGTACTGTTTTTTGTGTTTCCTGGATGTGGCCCAAGCTTAGCTCACAGCCCGCTTTGCGGGGGGAAGGGGCGGGTCCCCAAAACGTCACTTGCGATGGTTGAAAGCTTTCTGAGTATAGCCCGGGTTGCTTGTCACTTGCTAATTACTTTGCCCCTTGCACCACTTGTCTTTCTGTGGGAATCAGCGCTGATTGCTATTGCAGGATAGCGGCAATAGTATTAGTATCAGCCAGAGAGTGAGCCCTGACTGCAGAAGGAGATTCATGCGGCTAGGACATGTTAGGGAATCACACCTCAAGTGTTGGCGCACATGAAACCCCACCTAAATGATGTCTACCAAAGGGTTCCTACTTCAATTCATGCCCATAAGATTGAAGCAGCCCGTGAAACCTGGGCTGCCTGCTGATTGCGCCCAAAAGGCCTCCATGTGATTTGAAGGGCTGACAAGCTGATTCCAAAGCGAATCGACCTTTTTGTTTGAATTTCCCTTCTGGGTCCATGTTTGATCACCCCGAATGGTTTCCGTCCTTATTTTCCCGTCTTTTGGGGAAAGCTAAGTTACATTCCGTTTCCGAGAGGCGCAACTTGTTCAACTGTCACCAGGGTCCTCTGAGGGCAATTTGCCGAGGTGAAGAGGAAAGCGAAGAGGAGGATGACGAAGAAGCAATTGCGACTTAGCATTCGTAGTCGAGAACAGGGCTCCTGCCTTTGCCCCTTTGCTGGTTTTTCACATCACCTTTTGGTCCAATTTAAAGTGAGATCCTTTTTGGGTGATGTTCAAAAGGGGAGATGTAGGGGACCTCGAGAAAAGCTTGATAGATCTAGGCATTGGACTTCTATTTGGAGGTTTTGGGTCAGCTTGATAAGGATTCCCATCAAAAAGGCCGGGTGCATCAAACATTCTGGACGTTTCATCGGCTGGATGTTTTCCTTGGTGCAATTCTTCGCAGTCCCTATATTGCCCCGATGCTGGGCTTAAACATCACCATTTGGTGGCCACTTTTAGGTGCGCTCTTTCTTGGAAGGTTGCTTGTGACCTCCCCTGGGCCCCTAGACCTTCAACACCCACAGATGATCGAGCTTTGCTGGTTCAGAAAGCCAGGTGTTCAGCCGGCCAATCTATTTTTTGACCTCCGCCAGCCTTTGGTTCCGGGAGGTGACCCATATGAGACACACCTTGGGAGCTGCGGAGCCACGGCCCGCCCAGCTTAAATAGGTGAAACTCACAAGGCCATAGTTGCAGCCATGTCTGGAATCTTGGAAGGTCCCTTTTTTGGCATAGGTCCGGCGTTTTTCTCTTGTGGAACAGCACCACTGCACCGTCTGACTCGCGCGCGCGCGAAAGCCGCGTTTTCCCGCGGCCTCGCCATGCTCGCTGGCGGGCTTCCCGCTCCAGGACAAGCCCTAGGCCTGCCAGACTCCCTTGGAAACAACCCAAGGACCAAGCATCAAAGAAGCCCGAAACGTCGGTTTCTAGATCTTTTTTTTTGGGGTTCCTTAGGGTTCCTTCGCATTTTTCAGGGTTCCTTCGCATTTTTCAGGGTTCCCCAGATCAGAGTGGATTGTTTTGAGGGATCGGAGTTATGGTCAAAATGTGTCCTTTCACTTGACAGCAGAAGGTTTCCGGTCATCAGTGTTCCTGAAAGGTGGTGTTGGGTGAGGTGGAAACCGTCGATGCAACAACCATTGCCCAGTCCTCTTGAAGAAGTAAACAGCAGGTTAGCCCTTCGAATATCGCTGGATGGTTTGGGCTACTGTCAACCAAGCAAGCGACCTTGTGAAGACGGGGACCGGGGAGGGGGGGGGGGGTAATTCCCTCTAGAACCGGTCCGCCAGGGGTTCCTCCTCTAGGGGCAAAAACCATGTCGCACTGTTTGATAAATCACCAATCGCAAAAGGCTAAACCGTTATGTTGCATGATTCCGCTATGATGACTAACTATTTTCTCCGACTGAGCCCCCAAAATAAGTGTTTCAGTTTTGGTTTCCCTGTAGATCCCGTCCAAAAATTGGGTACCGGGCTTCCAAGTCTATATATATATATATATGTGTATATATATATATATATATATAGAGATTTAGCGCGCTTCAAGCATCTGGCCGTTGCTTCAGGGTATTGCTCCTTCTATTTGGAGTGGGTCTCAGCGCTGGTCATCGTCACCGGGGCACCTGGGCCACGAGTTTTCAGTCGTGAGATTTGGAACATCGTTGGCCAAGATGGTGGGTCAAGACCTGAGGTGATGGTTACCACTCCGCTGTTGTGTTTTAGAAGGGTTTTGTAGGTGTACGCCGCACGTTTTGACCCATAGCCATATCTCGCGCGAAAGACGGACATATGAAATCGAGACGGAATTCAGAAGGCTTAACTTTTTATGGTAGACTAAGTCATTGTGAAAAAGAATCAGACGATTTCTTCGTTGGGCCAAGCTGAAAGTCAGCTTTGTTTGTGGGCCAAGCTTCTGAAGTGGTCCACAAAAGCTGCAAGTTGTTTGGCGCACGCGCAAAAGGCCATTCTCGAAATGAGCCACAATCAAAACCCGGGCAGATGAAGGTTAGTAAGGGACAATCCCAGCCACAAATAGCTGCAGATACGCCTTCTCAATTCCTGAAGCATGGTTCTGGGGCTCGACCATTTTAATACCGGGTGTCCGGGTGTTGCTGATGACTCAAACGCGTAGGTGTCCTTTTTAGGCTGGTTTGGTTCAAAAGAGATGGGTTCCGCTGCTTTAGATGGTTTTTTTGCTCCATTCACCAGGGACCCCCATCTATTTTTCCAAAAGGTCACCTATGGTTCTTCCTTTTCTCTTTCGGGGGCTCAACCTTCACCCCACTTCCTGAGGTTCTGGGGGTCCGGTTTCAGTACCGGGTGTTGCTTCTGACTCACATTCGTGTGGTGCTCCACCGGCCTCTGCGCGCCTCCGGCGACCTTCGCGGTGCTTCGTTCGTTGAGGTGGTGAGCGCCTGGCGCGGGGCGTGGCTGGTGCTGGACGTGCAGCTCTGGCCGGAGAGGAGCGCCCGGGAACCGGAGGACTCGGAGAGCGCAGAAAGAGCTGGCGCTGGGGTCTTTAAAAGTTGGGTTTTTCTAAGGTCCCACAAGGTGCCCATAGGTGCTTCCCTTTTTAGGCCCTTTTTGGCTAGACATAGATGGGTTCCACTGGTTTGGAGGGGTTTTAATTTTGTTCCATTTGCCAGGAATACCCATCGATTTTTCCAAAAGGCCACCTATGGTAGTGCCCTTTTACAATTTCTTTTTTGGGGGAGGGTTCCCCTACTCAAGTAGACTACAGAAAAAAATATTGGTACTGTTATTCTAACTTCTTTGCTGGAGGACCTAGTCCCCGTCCTGCTTTACCCTCAAACAAAGACACACCCAAATGTTCCGGGGTATGGGTTTTGTGCTTGGCTGTTGGGTATGGTTCAGGGGAGACAAGGACTGGGGAAATACTAATTTTCCACCAAAACCAGGGGACAACTCACTCATTTTCCACAAATTCCCACGTCCTACCCGCAATTTCAACCGTGGGGCGCGCAGTCCACGGCGAAATCGTCGCCTCACCGCGCTTCTCGCTGAGCGACCGCACCGACGGCCCGCGAGGCCTACGGAGAGCGCGGCTTTGGGCTTCGGCGTGGGCGCGGTACTCTTTGCCCTACTTGGCGCCCTGGGACCAAAAACGCCGCCGCCGCTCATGTTAATCTCCCCGTGTTGGGGGCGAATTTTAGTCGCGCTCTTGTTTGTTTGGCCTTTTGGTATTTTATCGGGGTGTGCTCCCATGCTTCAAGTTGGCAAAATGAGTTGGCCTCTAGTTACGAGAGAGAGGTCGTCAATCTCTCAGATGGTTTCCAGTAGCCTAGTAGCCTCGAACCACCACCTCCGCGAAGAGAACAGAGCATGTCCTCTTTGCATAGTGGCTATTTAGTGCCTGTATATCCCATTCAACCCCTGGTTCCTGGTGTTTTGGGTGTGAAAACCACTTCAGGCAACACGAATCCATGTGTTTCCCCATTTGTGGGGATGGGACCCCTACCAGCGCTGACTCCTGCCCAAAACAAAAGTGCTTCCAGGTGTTTTTTTCCACCATAGCAAGTAAACCAGTGGACACCATCGACACTATGACACAACCAGGCGAGTCCTGTTTGGTCACCATAGCAAGTCTACCAGCGGACACCAACAAAAACACGGTGCTTCCAAATCGAGGCGTTTTCTTTTTTCACCATAGCAAGTGAACCAGCGGACACCAACAAAACACTGGGTGTCCAAATCCTTTAGAAATCGGTTTCTGGGTGGCCTTACCAAACACTCGGTGTCCTTTTCTGGGTGTCCTTCCAACTCGGTTCAAACCCCTTCTCCGCGGTTGCGCGCGTGGGCGCTTGCCGCCGGCCGAGGCCTCGCGCAGCCCTGGCTGGCTGCGGCGGCGGGCCGCGCGGAGAAAAAGTGCCTCTTCTGGGCCTTGGACGCCCTCTACAGCGCCCGGGACCGGAAACCGTTTTGGCACATCGCGTGAATACTTGTTTTCAATTTGTTTCCTATCTTCACTACACATGAATTGCAAGCCTTTTCCCTGGGCTTAGTGGGGAAGCACACGACTCTTGGAGGGGAAATTGTCTTCATGGTCTTCGGAGGGTGTAGAAAGCCATGACGTTGCTTTGCGTGACAAGCAATGTATCTTCATTGTTTTTTTTTTCTTTGTCTCCTGTTTCTATTGCTGATTGTGATCGAACCAGGTTTCTCTTCTTTTCAGTTTCGGGGTGACCCGCGCCGTGGATATTGAGTTTCTTGGAGTCCGTTTAATGACGCCAAGCCCCAAGCCCCAAACCCCAAACAAAGAGGCCGGAAATCGACTCGTGTCCGTGCAGTGTCCAACCGTTTTTTCTTGGTGGTTCCCAGCCATCCCCCTTAGCTTTTGGTCTTTTAGTGACAAGTGCGGATTTGACCCACAAGTTTAACATTTAGCGGGGAATCTGAGGATAGCCCAGTTGTTTACCCGTTCTTTTTGGGCAAAAGCTGTGAGGCTACCTGGGCCTGTGGTGCTGCGTGCTGGTCTGGCGAGGAGTTTGGCAGCTGTGGGATGGTGCCTTGGGGAGCCTTGGACTGAGAAGAAGTCCCGTTATTTGGTAGGCTTTAACGAGAAACCTGCAGCAAAGTCCAAATCGGTGTTTGGGGGGTCTAAACAAGACACCACTTGAAAGTTTCTCAAGAATAAGCTCCTCTGGTTGTATTCGCTTGGGAGTTGTTTGTACAGGGGGGGGGTTCTCAAAATGGATCTCGGAGCCCTTTTGAAGAAAGGACACGGTTGCCATTTGGGGGGGCATTTCCATTTTGGAGAAGCACCCACGAGCCAAGGGGCACTATTGTCAGCTTTCCAGACTCATTCGGAGCGTACTACTCTGGGGTTGGTGTTCCTTCTTCGAAGGGGATTGCATCATGTCCAGCGGGGAGAGGGTGGGTTTGTTTCTTGCCATGCAAAGAGTTGGATCAGAGTCTGGGGTGTGTCTTTTTTAGGGGTCCCCCTAACAGAAGAGTTCGTTTCTCATTTGAGACCAACCAAAAAGGGGTACCTCCCCCCCGCCCAAAAAGGAAGCAAAACACAAACAATCCTTGGTGGCTCCCAGCCATCCCCTTAGCCTTTCAGCTTTTTAGTGTTTAGTGCTAGTTTCCATTTGACCCACTAA